CGCTATAAAAAGGCGACAGTTCGACACACCGGATATACGTCACTCTCGTCTAAGTTCGACTTGGGAATTTTTTTGTTCAATAATAAATGTGAATTCTTCTTCCTGGAAAAAATAAGACCTAGCGCATTTTTCAGAGAAAAATTAATATAAGACACTGTCTTATTTTCGGGTAAACACGGTAGTAAAATAATTTTAATATTAATAATAATAATTTAGTAACATAAATTTATTCATATTAAAATGTACTCGTGGGCCGTATATGGCCCGCGGGCCGCCAGTTGGACAGCGCTGATCTAAGTGATTTCCATCAGTTTTTGTTTCAGTGTCTGCCCAGAAACAGGAAGATTCAATGAACAAATTTGCTTTAGCCAACATACTAGAGCATCTTCAACATCTTTGTACAGCAACTTTCTCTGGCATTTTCGAGACAGCCACAATGAAGACCCAAGAAAAAGTTTCTTAATTTCCTCTTTTTTCTTCAGAATTCACAATAATGTTGTTCTTGGAAGATTTTCTTGTTTTGAAATTCACAAGTTGAATTTTCAAAACAAGAAAATCTTCCAAGAACAAATTCAGATACAAGTTTGTACTTTTCCTTCAGCGTAAGCATTGTTAGGTTTCGGATACTCATTTCAAACAGAAATTTGAAACACTTGCTGCAAATTGTGCGCGAGTGAAAGGTAAGAAAATGCAAAATTGGATTCTGCTATGTGGTGTGAACTCATTTTTTTCAGGAGGGGAGTTGACTTATCAGATGTCTAAACAAGTGTGGGACAGAAAAAGTATGTCAATTTATCCAGTGGTGTCAAATAAACCAGAGTTTTTAACATTAATGCCTATGTAAGTCATCTGGGACCACAGAAAACTGACTACTTAACTGAGGGTGTCTGATATACATATGACAACTTATGCAAACTCGACTGTATATATAAGACTTTTCCAACAATTAGGGACTTACAAATTAAATTATAAATATCTTAGAACTATCTCCATAAAAACTGACAAGCAAAAATGTGAAAAAATATCAAAAAAGCACAATGAATCTTGCTAATTAGTCTAAATGTCACCAGGAAACTCTATGTCAATACTGGAACTGGAAAGCCTTTTGTCAATCTCGCTTGATCCTTAGCTCACCTCATTCGATTCTTCCTTTCACCTCCTCCTTATTAGTGCAGTTGGGGTGATGTTACATGCATACATCCACTTGACCCTATTTACATATTTAATTGTTAACATTTCATTCAATCTAGTAATGTCTTGTTAATTCATGTCATTGCTCTTATAAATTTATAATTTTTTTAAAAATTTTTTATATTTGATACTTTTTGTGTATTTCTTCTTTGGGTTCGATTCATCTATTTAGATTTTACTTTATTTCATTTAATACTTTTTTTTAATATTAATTCGTGTATATTTATAATTTTCTGATAATTAGATTGCAATTTTCAGATGTCATCTGTCTGTCTTCATTAATTTCAAGACCAGATATAGAAAGCTTAGGGACCAGTGGTCCCACTCAATTAATTTTTACTGGAAAACTCTATGTCAATACTGGAACTTAAAATATAGTTAAACATTTCAACCCAGCATTATGGTGATGTC